TCCTTTCTGTGAAGCCTGAATTCAACTAAAGGGCTAATGATACCTATCATAACGCCTGCCATTTGAAATAAATAAATTTCGTTTGTTTTGTTTGCTTTAATTAGACGAACACAAAGGCTATATTTGACACGGGTTAATCCAAACGTAGTGGTTGCTAGCATGATGCCGTTACCGTATTTGCATTCCTCTCGGTGTTTTGAGTTCGCTTGTGCGGAAGCCACCACCAGCATGGCAAAAGCAGAAAAGCACATCATGCCCAGAAGCAAATGAGACCACGATTTCAGAGACCTCTCGACCAATCAATGGCCAAAGTCGTTACGTGGTTATGAAATCCGAAAGAGTAGATGATGTCTAAGCTCCCTGTCACCGAAGAACGAAAATACGCAACCCAGCAGATGCTCCCAACAGACAAGATACAACCACCCGAGTCAAACGTCCTACGTCTTTTTTTGCTCTATAGTTTTGGTGTAGCTAGAAGAACTTGTCACCCTGATAAGGGACTCAATTTTAATAACTTTCTTTCACGCATATTTTGTGCACAGAAGGTGGGTGAAATAACTTTCATTACATTAAAGTGTGCATCCTTCTAAAATCACTAACATGGAAATACTACCCACGTTTGAAGAAATGGAATAAAAAATTTTGATTAGTCAATATCCATTTACCTGCAACTATTGTTAGCACGAGGAAGATAACAGCGACTAGTACTGAAGACAGGAGCAAGAAGGGAATAAGAATGACGGAAGAGCAACAGGCAGAAGTCTTTCCAGAGCAGATAGTGTTCTGGTCAGGCCATGGGTCTGCTAAAGAGGAGGTAATATGCTTCTAAGTTAATAAATTTAAGTGGACATGTATGGGCATTGAGAAAACTTTTACCATATACACTTTGATCAGAGAATAATCTCCCACTAGAAGCTAAATAAATCAGTCTTATGGCTATTAGTGTTGCAATCAACACCAAAAGACCGATGAAGGCGCCAATGGAATAGAATGCAATGATTGCCCATTCCTTGTACTTCATAATCTGTGGGCCGGTTGAGTTTAAAGATGTTTGAATTGCGGATAATGCATTGTTCGTCCTCGATTTCAGAGTAGTTGCGAAGCTTTCTGCCATATCTTTGAATTGATTTATCTTAAGGTTGCCAATCACGATTTTCGAATAATTTTCGCCCGTCTTATTGAAGGTGTTAATGATGCTCAGGATTTTCTGGGCTTTACTTTCTATTTGTTTTTTTGATTCCTCCAGTTGATCTAACTGCGCCTGTAAACTATTCGTATCGATTTGACTCGAAGTAAATGGCAATGACAACCCCACTGTTATGCCCTACAATAAAAATTTCATTTTATTATTTCTCAACTTACGCACAAATGATTGCACTATTTGTTAAGTGCTATAACGGTAAATGATTATGCAAATTTTTCCTCATTAAATAATAAATTTCAGACGTTAGATTGCAATTGTTATTTATTATAATTTTAATTTCTTCTTCTGACTTTTATGTTCTGTATTGGCCTTTTTTAAGATGCAAAATTAAAGGTATTTTAGTCTAATTTGAAATAAGATATTGGCACTCACTCGTATTTGCTTGCACGTTTCAATAGTATCGCAATTCTTGACACTTGCAAATAAAATGTTAAAATCCTCATGAGCTGCGTTCAATTTAGTCTCGAAACCAAATAGATCCTTTTTCATTATTTCCATATCTCCGAGTGCGTCCTTTACGCTCAAAAGTGAATTGGATATGAAACTGACAACCTTCTCGCCATTGTCGCGGGATGCGTAGAGGCTAAGCTTCGTCAGTAATTTGTTCACAATTTCGGGCCACATCTTGGATAGCGTTGACTAAAATAAAAAGAACGAAAACATATAATAGACCCTTTGCTTTATGAAGTAGATAACAATTAATGAAATATTATGTTGTTCTATCCTGACTTACCTCCACGTGGTGCACCCTGGGCAACGTATACTCATACGGCAAAAA